GGTGAAAGATCTACACGTGGATATTCTTTCACGGGAAATTTGCACAAACAATGGTCATTCAATTCGAATTTTGCAAGATAAATGGATTCCTAAGCTGTATACTTTTAAATATTTGGGTGCCAGCGGTTTTAATGCTGATGCAAGAGAATGTGATCTTTTTTCAATGTTTTAATACGGACGATAGTACTGCAGTAGTTGCAATTCCCTTGTCATTGACGGTTAACACACCATATAAACAGTTTTGGTTCTACACGTAAAAATGGAAAGTACACTGTTAAATCTGGGTACCGTGTGGCTTTGAGATAATGTGATAATGAAGTTGGCGAGTCGAATTTTGCTACCCAGTATGGATTTTGGAAACAATTGTGAAGTTTACAAGTTCCTACAAAGGTCAAAATGCTCTTTTGGAGAGCTAGTTTAAATATTCTCCCTACCGCTGCAAACCTTTGTGTGAAGAGGGTGATTCCTTCTCCCATTTGTAATGGTTGTGGGTAAAATGCTGAGGATGCTCTACATGCTTTATGGAATTGTAAACGAAGCAGGAAATTATGAAGCCTAACATCGTTAAAACTTGGTATTGGTGGAGCACGAGTAACTTTCGCAGATTTTTTAGAGTCTGCTATGCATTCTTCAGCCCCCGGTGGAGATGGATCATGTTAGAGACTCTTCATATTCATGACAGTTACAGCAAATTAAGGAGATTTCCGTTACAATTGTTAATACCCATAATTGCCTTGTTGTCTGTTATAGTTCCGCTATAACTCCCAGACCATTGCTGTAATAGTGTTTATTCAGATATGAAAAGAATCTGTTTCTACATGGTATCTAGAGCCACCATTTTTCTTTAAAATTATTCTGCTTCTCTTCCTATCAATGGCGTCCTCCTCCCCCTCCTCCTCTTCGGCTGGTGTTCTCTCCTTCCCCAATTTCTCTACTCTTCTCTCCACCAAACTCTCGGAAACCAATTACCTTCTCTGGGAAAGTCAAGTCCAACCCTATCTTATTGGGAAAAAATTTTGGCGATTCATTGATGGTTCTCACCCTTGCCCTCCTGCTGTTCTCATCCCCACTAAAGACAAAGCTGTTGACGATGCTCAGGACCCCGTGGTCCCTGTTCCTAACCCGAAATATCTTACTTGGTATCAAACCGATCAATCTCTTATCAGTATTCTTCGTTCCACTCTCACCAAGCCGTTCTTGCTCAAGTTGTTGGTCTCACCACTTCAAAGGCAGTCTGGGACTGTCTTCGTCAAAACTTTTCTCAACAATCTCTTGCTATTGCCACCCATCTCAAGTTTCAACTTCTCACCATCACCAAAGGGACTAAGACAGTTTCTGAATATCTTGCTCTTGCCAAAAGCTTATCTGATCAGTTGGCAGCCAAACGTGCCCCAGTTTCCTCTAATGATTTGGTCAGCTATGTGATTCGTGGCTTGGGCCCCAACTACGCCATGCTCATCATTGCTATCATGCAATTTCCTCCCCTACCCACTTTCGCTGATCTTCATGCTCGTCTCCTTGCCTTCGATGCCCAACAATCTCTCACTGATCTTATGGCTTCTTTGCCTCTGCCGCAAGCTTTCTATTCCACACATTCCCAACATCAACGTTCTAGCCATCCTCGTGGTTCCCGTGGCACCCGCCATGGTTCACAGTTTCACCGCTCCGGACCTCCCTTTGGTGGATCCAACCGTACCACATTTTCAGGTTCTAGCCAGCCCCATGCCATCCCGCTCCTCCCAGCCTAACACTAGAATTTTGGGGTCTCGTCTGACATCGCGCCCTCCTCTTCAATATTGGAACTGCCAACAATTTGGCCATATTGCTGCTCGGTGCCCACTGTCTTCGCATGATTCAGACCTCTCTCCTCATTTTGCTAGCATGCATATCTCTCAACCATCTTACCCCAATTGGTACTTGGACTCCGGTGCCACCAATCATATGACCAATGATGCCTGCAAACTGACAAATGTCTCCAACTCTTCTGATCAAGTCCTCATTGGTATTGGTGCCTCCCTTCCCATTACTCATTATGGTAATGTCGCCTTTTCCTCTGGATCTTTTGACTTTAATTTATCCGATGTCCTCCTTGTTCCCTCTCTTCACAAAAATCTTCTTTTTATTGCTCAACTTACTCATGATCATCCTATTAGTATTACTTTTGTTTCTTGGGTTATTCGACACTTACACACAGGTGTTATTCTCTTTCAGGGCCGATGTAGTGATGGCCTTTATCCGGTCTTGCCCTCCCTTGCCTCTAAGTTTGTTTCACGCTCCAAGTCCGCTTTCTCTTCCACCGTCTCGTCGTCATCCCTTTGGCATTGCCGTTTGGGTCATCCGTCCAATAAAGTGCTTAGCGCCTTAGTCTCTCAGTCCTTGTTAGGTTCTCATTTTAAATTATCTCATAATTCATGTAGCCATTGTGCCTTAGCAAAATCAGTTCGTCTTCCTTTTTCATCTCATGAACATTGTTCTAGTGCACCCTTTCATTTAATACATTCTGATGTTTGGATGTCTCCAGTTGCTTCTCTTTCCGGTTTTCGGTATTATGTACTTTTTACTGATGATTTTACTCGTTTCTCGTGGATTTTTCCTATGCGACTTAAATCGGAAGTCTTTCATCATTTTTCTACTTTTGTCTCCCATGTTGAAACTCAATTTTCTATGCCTATTAAACAGTTTCAAAGCGATGGGGGGAAAGGAATTTGATAATGGCAATTTTAAACAATTTTGTGCTTCCAAAGTTGTTATTCACCGTTTCTCCTGTCCCCATACCCTGCAACAAAATGGCCTCGTTGAGCGCAAACATCGCCATATTGCCGACATGGAGAGTACCTTACTTCTTACTGCCCATCTTCCTCACACCTTCTGGGTTGAGGCCTTTTGCACTACTGTCTACTTAATTAATTGTCTTCCTACCCCGCTTCTCAAGTGGGAAACACCTTAACGGCAGTTGTTTTGTAAAGACCCGGATTATTCTTTTATCCAAACATTTGGGTGTACATGTTATCCTTATCTTGGTGCTTATGTTTCTAACAAGTTACAACCCCGTTCGCTTGCTTGTGTTTTTCTTGGCTACAGTGCTAATCATCGCGGATATCGCTGCTATCATCCTCCCACCAGGCGTGTATACACTTCTAGACATGTTGTCTTTCACAAGCATGATTTTCTCTATTCTGCCCATGCACCAACGCCACCAAATGCCACAGCTGCCATTAGTTTGGTCTCTGTTCCAGTAGTCACAACTTCAACCACACTCAAATGGGCCTGATGCCTCTCACCTGGCTATTGGGCCACTGCCAAATTTGGAGCCTAATTCGCCCCCTACATAGTCAGCACATGTGGAGCTTCCTGGTCCTGTAGCCGCCAACTTGTATTCATCTCCAATCCCTTCTCTCGCTTCAGGCGACCTTGCGACCTCAACTTCACCATCACCACCTGCTCTGGTCATCGCACCAGCACCAGCACCAACCACTGCCACCCATCTCTCAGTTCCAGCACTGACCGACGCCACACAAGTCTCGGCTCCCGCACAGCCCTTTGCGTCTGCTCCAGAACCAGTGCCAGCCACCGCCCCCTAGCTTCTGACTCCATCACAGAATCCCGAAAAGCCATCGGCTTCTCCCTCCAATCGGACTAGCCCAATTCACACACTGTCCAAATCCAGCATGTTCAAACTCAAGTTTCGATTCAATTTCATAGTTCGCTATCCTATTCCTTCAACGTTCATTACTTTGGTTGATTCTAATCTTGAGCCTACATGCTACACCCAGGCATCTCGATTTTCTCATTGGCGACAAGCTATGTATGATGAGTTTAATGTGCTTTTTAAGCAGGGCACTTGGTATTTGGTTCCCTTGCCTCCTTCTGTTCATGTTGTCGGTTGCAAGTGGGTTTTCAAAATCAAACTCCACTCTAATGGAAGTATAGAACGTTACAAGTCCCGTTTGGTGCCCAAGGGTTATCATCAACAACCAGGAATTGACTATTTTGATACCTACAGCCCTGTTGTCAAACCCACCACTATTCACACTGTACTCAGTATTGCAATCTCCTCTGGTTGGACTCTTCGTCAATTAGACGTCAAAAATGTGTTTCTTCATGGCGCGCTTTCTGAATAGGTCTATATGCAGCAGCCTCCTGGATTTATTGATCCCACATGGCCCCAACATGTTTGCAAACTCCATAAAGCTCTCTATGGCCTCAAAGAGGCTCCTCGCGCATGGTTTCAGTGCCTCAACTCATTCCTGTTTATGCCTAATAAATCTCGGTCGTAAAACTGACCGAAAGGACTTCCTCTCGGCCTTCGTACTAGCCCATGAACTGAAACGTGGCGGTTCGTTAGGCATTTGCCGTCCTAAAAACAAAAGAAAAGCTGCGAAGGCAGGATCCTCTCGGCCTTGAGACCGCGGTATTATAGGCCGAGCCAACAGGGTCCCACACTTCATTTAATGAAGTAACGCCTCTATTGCAGCAAACCCACTAGCCGCAAAAAAGCATTTCATGCACGAGGGAAGATGGGAAGTGACTAAAGTCAGGGTTCGGGGATGGAAATCAGAGTGGTTAGGCGCAAACATTCTCACAAATATTCTTACAACTTGAGAGGTCAGATCACCAACTACCAGACCAGGGCATTAAATGCGTTCCCATGGCCGAGATTTATCGGGATTTATGGGGGTCACACCACCATGCTTCACGATCCCAAATGCCGATTGGACTACCCACTTGCTCTGATCAGGCTCCACCACGCAGATCTTTCAGCCTCGATTGTCCCTCCAGGACCTCTCCTATAAAAACCAAGTTCAAGCTACATTCAAAGGGTTCAAACACCAAACCAAAAGCCTCCCACGGAGCAAATTATATTTTCCTGTATTTCATTTCTTGTAATGCACTTACAATACCTTCACTTGCTTTCCTAGGAGTAGTGATAGATTGTAAGGAAAATTCATTCATCAATATATCATACGACCCTTGATCTTCAAGGCGCCGGAGCACCGTCTCTGTTACTCTCTCATCCACCCCATATATCATACGACCGTCGCTCTCTGAGCAACGCGCCGGAGCACCGCCTAAAACCCACCATCAACACCACCACTAAACGGCCTTGTAGCTCAGGCCGTGAACCTGACGGCCGAGATCAGTTCCTCTCTCGGCTACAATCGTTTGATTAGAAGTCGAACTCAAACAAGCGCACCACTTAACCATTTACCCAAACACATCACTCTCTCAACGCACGGTAGACCTCGTCCGGGACATCTCCCAGAGCCGGACAGAGAAGCCAAGAGCGTGAAAGGATTGAGCCCTACGGCGAAAGCAGTAGCCTCGGCGCCTCTGGCCTCACCCAAGCGTCAGGCTACGGTCAGCATTCTCAGCCGCCGACGAATAGCTGGGGGCAATCCCAGCCAACATGGGTAAGTCCCGGACCGACCTACCCAGCAGAAACAACATACGGCCCACTCCATGCTTTGGCCGTATCATTGGGGCAGAATAGCCCCACTCATTCCGCGGTCCAGCAACTCGGCCCAGTTCATACTACGGTCGTCCAAACACAGCCCGGCCCAAGCAATGCGGCCACGGCGTCATCACAACAGTACGATCAGAGTAATTTGACCACTGCACCGTCGCTGCAGGCATCATTATTCCCTTTAGGCTCCCACCTTCAATACAGTTCGGTCATTCCGACGGCACCACAGACGCACCCGGGTTCCTACTGCCAGAATGAGACAAACTGACAAAATCAGGTGGCCACACCACTACGGCAGATGGACCATACGCACCCTGGTGAAACCCACGGCGCTTATCTAGTGCCGTTCGGCTCGGTCGCAATGGCCGAGCCCCTTGTTCAAGTGGCCCAGCAGGAAAGGCCACAGAACGATGTGCAACAGGTCCCGCGGCCGTTTACGGCCCAGCTGAAGCCGCCCCCTTAGGGTCCTCGGACCGAAGATGTTCGGCGTATGACCAAGGACGGCTTAGCCCAAAGGCGGCTGAAGGCACCAGGGTATACTGAGCCATACCCATCAGAAAAACCCAGGGCTTGGCACGACTTGCTCCCTAAGGCTTTTTGGGCATACCGCGCATCGAAACGCTCGGCTACTGGCACATCCCCCTATGCCTTAACCTACGGCCATGACGCCATTGTTCCGATGGAGTTAAAGATTCGGTCTCTCTGTGTGACCGAACGGCCAGGGCAAGAAAAGAAGGACTACGCGCAAGCCATGGCTCAAGAATTGGAAGATTTGGAGAGATCAAGGCTTGACACTTACAACCTGATGCGAGCTCAAAAGCAAATGGCGCCAAGGGCATACAACAAAAAGGTCAAACAAAAGACCTTTGCCGAGGGCGCCCTGGTATGGTGCGCTGTGATTCCAATTGGGACTAAAAACCCACGATTCGGCAAGTTTTTCGCCGAACTGGGAAGGGCCATTTATCATCGAAGAATTCTCGGCCACGATGCATTCCAATTGAGAGATGGAGACGGAGAGCGTCATGGTTTGCCAATAAATGGCCAATACTTGAAAAGGTATACCCCATCATTGTGGGAAACGGCCAAGATAGGAGTATGAAGGTTGCAGCGAGCGAACTATGGGAATTTGGTAGTATTAAAAGAGGAAGTATAGCCAATCATTTTTCAAAAGAAAAATTCATATTTAAATTTAATTTAAAAAGGGTTCATATTTACAAACAAAGGCCAATTTTGGCCGAGTAAAAATATACATATGTATCTATATAAAAATTACATCCTAAAAAATCTATGAACGGCCGCCCGCCTAAACCCCCTCGCTGAACATCCCCTAGATCAAGCAAGTGATCCGTCTCCAAGCAATGTCCCTGCCATCTATATCCGCCTGCCATCTCGCCCGGATCAGCTTCCTCTCGGCCATCACCTTCTTCTTCTCGATCGCTGTCTTAAGGAGCTGTCTGGCAGAAGACTTCAGCTCGGCGCCAGCCGCAACCGAGCCGTCTCGGCGCCCAAGGATGAGATCCCGACGGCCCTGGAGCTCGGCAATTTGGGCCTAAACCTATGCAAGCTCTTCGTTCTCTCTTTGGAGAACGAGTTCATTTTCCTTCAACCGAGCCATAGCAGGTTGGACTTGTTCTTTTATCTTCGCTAGCTCCTGCTTGAGCGAGCACCCCTCGGTCATCCTCATGCTGGCCTCCGCAAATCGACCGATCATCTCCTCGCCCTCGGCCAAGCGAGCC